CTTCCATACTGAAAGTGTGTGTATAAATGAATATATCCATGAAAATAACATACAAAAATGCATTTTTTTTGGGGGGGGGAAATGATTTGCAAAAATGTGTGTGAGTCAAAACTGCACATAAACACGTGTTTATCAGGAGAAAATCAGACTAAAGTGCTGATAAATTTTCATGAGGATTTTAAACAACGACAAAAAACACAAATTACCACAGAAATATAAGACTGGGGAGAAAGAGAAATGGAGAGAACCAAAACTGACAGACCCAACCATCATCATCATCATCATTATTATTTTTACTACTATTATTATTAAAATTTGTATACCACCCTATACCCACACAGGCATTTCACAACATAAACAATATGAAACTGATATAATGTGTGGAGAAGTGGAGGAAACTTTGATGCACGGGGTACATTGATACACCAACAATACTTCAGTATCGAGAAATGTTATTCATGCCGCAACATCACTAAAACGTGTCTATACATGTATGAGTACAACAGTTGAAACGGCTCCACCTGCCAATTAGCCGTTGGCGTTTGATGAGAGTAAGTGTGTTTTTAGCAGGGCCAACTAAAAAATTACATGAAATGTACAAGTGTTCCAACACTGTTTTACGTCCTTTAGTTAAGATTTAAAAATACCTAAGGTAAGTTATTCCACTCAGTATTCAGGTTACACATGATTTTTAAATAAGTTCAGTGCTTTTTTAAATAATTGTTAGCTTTTTTGAAAATGTCCATTGGGGCACTTTGATACACTAAGACATTGATACATATAAAAGTGCTCTGCTAGTGTAAAATAGTACCCCAATATACAAGTTTGAATGAAATCTCTAAACTCATTAAATTTGAAAAGAAAAGAAATGTTGTTTGCTACGTGGCCAAAGTCATTTCTAAATATAATATGACAGATTATCAAGTGTCATATCTCAGGAAAAAACCAGGATCTTGTATGTTTGTTTTCCCCACTGTAGAAGATAAGGCAAGTGTTGATTTCAAGGATGTTGTTTTGCCGTTGCCAAAGCCAAATTTCCCAAAGGGCACATCTAGAACATCATCTCTTTATACTTTTTCTATTGACTTAAGTGGATATAATGTGCAATAGAAGCTAAACATTAACTAATTATCTTATTTTTTATAAGCATTTTGTTTAAATTACTATTTTTTGACTACCTAATGTGAGTTCTTATACTTTTTAAGTTTTTTCAAAGTTTTTTTTCAAAAATGGATAGGTGTTTGAGGAAAGATTAATATGTTTTGATGTTTTCTTAAGAAAACCTGCCATAAAATCTATGATATGTGTGAAACACTGTTAGTTTTGATACGTAATTTAGATTTTAAGTAACAAATTGTAAGGCTGATTATGATCTCTCACAATAAAAATTGTACAATTTACGCTTTGCATCAAAGTACCCCATCCGATGTATCAAAGAGCCCTGCAGGTGGGGCAGAATGATACAACCCCCCCCTTTTTTTTTTACTGAAGTCATTATATTCTCATTATCTTCTAACTTTAATGGTTCTTTGGATTGCTGTTATAATATTGATTAGTTATGCCATGCATCAAGCCAAAAAATTTATTATTTGACTCATTTTTGTTACATAAAATATGAGATTGATTTTTTCTGTATCAATCTGCCCCACTTCCCCCTATGGACTTCAAACCCGTTTGGGGCAATATATTGATCTATCGCCCAGCCCTGCCCAAGATACATATCACAGGAGAAGTGCTGAAACAGCAGCTCAAGATGATGATGATTTATTAAATTTGTATACCTCCCTATACCTGTAGATCTCAATATGTTCACAACATAAAACCACAATGTAAGAAACACAAAATACGTAATCAAAATAAAAACACAACCCCCACTTCTACGACGTATTTTAAAAGGGCATCCGATGTCAATCATCCAAAGGCCTGGTTAAAAAGGAACGTGTACAAAAGGTGAAGGTGCCAGCCGAACCTCCCTGGGGAGAGCATTCCACAGACAGGGAGCCACTGCAGAAAAGACCAGTTCTAGTTTGGCCACCCTTCGGACCTTTCATGGAGGAGGCACATGAAGAAGAGCCTCAGATGATGGTTGCAAGAGCCTGGGTTGGTTTCTATGGAGAGAGATGGTCCTTGAGGTATTGTGGTCCTTAGCCGTTTAAGGCTTTATAGGTCAAAACCAGCACTTTGAATTGGGCCTGGAAAGTAATTGGCAGCCAGTGCAGTTGGACCAGGATCAATGTAAGATGCTCAAACCGTTTTGCTCTGGTGAGCAACCTCGCCACCAAATTTATGCACCAGCTGAAGTTTCTGAACCGTCTTCAGAGGCAGCCCTTCTTATAACGCATTTCAGTAATAATAATAATAAATAATAAAATTTTATTTATATCTCGCCCTCCCCAGCCGAAGCCGGGCTCAGAGCGGCTAACAACAATAAAATAATACAGCATTCTAACCTTGAGGTTACCAAAACATAGACAACAGGAGTTAGGCTATCCCTGTCCGGATAGGGGCATAGCTGGGCCACCAGCCGAAGCTGACGGAAGGCACTCCGGGCCACTGAGGCCACCTGAGCCTCAAGAGCAGGGGTCAGCAACCTTTTTCAGCCATGGGCCAGTCCACCGTCCCTCAGACCATGTGGTGGGCCGGACTATATTTTGAAAAAAAATATGAATGAATTCCTATGCCCCACAAATAATCCAGAGATGCATTTTAAATAAAAGCACACATTCTACTCATGTAAAAACACGCTGATTCCCGGACTGTCCGCCGGCTGGATTGAGAAGGCGATTGGGCCACAGGTTTCCTACCCGTGCTCAAGAGACAGCAAAGGATCCAAGAGGACCCCCAAGAGACATGGCTGCTCCTTCAGAGGGAGGGTAACCCCATCAAGAGCAGACCACCTAACGGGGCAGAGGCGTCTTCTCCTGTTGCTGTCCTGTGCTGCCTTCATTTGCTCAGCAGAGGGAGCTCCCATACTTACCAATAGTTATGAGGTGTCAGACAAGGAATTGCTTTCTGAGACAGTGCTGAAAGCGGTACAACAGAGTCAGTGAAAAGAAGAGGCTGCTGGGTTGAATCGCAGACCCACCAAGTCCAGCATTCTAGCTCAATCACTAGCACTCTCCCGCTCCTGCTCACTAACCACGGCATTCGGAGCCATGCTGCCTCTGATCCTGGTGGCAACATACGGCCATCCCGACTCGCCATGGATAGCCTCTTCCTCCATGGATTTGTCTAATAACTTGTTGAAACTGTCCAAACTGGGGCCATCACTCAGGGCGGTGGCCTCAGGGTGGAAGGATTCGGGCAGCTGGGAGCCAGGGCACTGCTGTGTGGGCCTGCAACCAAATCCTCACCAGCGAAGGAGGGAGAGCAGGGCGGGGCAGAGGCATCTTCAGTTTTGCCTGAACACGTGTCAGGAAAAATTAAAATTAAAATGTGGAAAACAAGTGAAAACATGATGCATGTGTCAAGAGAAACAAACAAGCAAACCAAATTAAATGTGATGATAATGTGAAATCATGACCCCTGGATGAGGAAAAATAAAAATTCCAAGAATGCAAAAAGCACGTGGCTCAGGAAAAGTAAAAATAAAAATAAATGTGAAAAACAAGTAAAATCATGACCTGTGGCTCCAGAAAAACAAAAACTAAAAAAATAATAATGCAAGAAAGGTGTGTAAACTCAGGAAAAAGAAAAATACCCCAAAAGCAAAAAACAGGTGGAGCTCCCTTTCCCCCTAAGATATAACCTTTCTTTATCAGCCTGGATAGCTCTGTTGGTTAGAGCCTGGGGCTGAGAATGCCACAGTTGCAGGTTCAATCCCTGTACAGTCATACCTCGGGTTGAAGTTGCTTCAGGTTGAGCGCTTTTGGGTTGTGCTCCGCAGCAACCCGGAAGTAACAGAACCTGTTAAATCCGGGTTTTGCCGCTCATGCATGTGCAAACGCTCAAAATGACACCATGCGCATGCGTGGAAGCGGCGAATTGTGACCCGCGCAGTCGTGGGTTGCAACTTCACTTCACTTCAGGATGTGAATGGGGCTCCGGAATGGATCCCGTTTGCATCCTGAGGTACCATTGTATTGGACAACTGCATATTCCTGCATTGGAAGGGGTTGGACTAGATCAGGGGTCAGCAAACTTTTTCACTGTCCCTCAGAGCATGTGCTTGGCCGGACTATATTTTGGAAAAGAAAGAACGAATTCCTATGCCCCACAAATAACCCAGAGATGCATTTTAAATAAAAGGACTCATTCTACTCATGTAAAAACACGCTGATTCCCGGACCATCAGATTTAGAAGGTGAATGGGCAGAATCCCGCCCACGGGCCTTAGGTTGCCTACCCCTGGACTAGATGATCCTCAGGCCCTTTCCAACTCTATGCTTCATAGGGGAGTTGCCCCACTCCCTTGTTTGTTTTGGTTGCCCCTTTCTGAGCAATCTTCTTTTTGAGGTGCAGTCACTAGAACTGTACATCTCATTTGTCCTGTCAGGGTGAAAGGTGGGGCATAGATATAATAATAATAATAATAATAATAATAATAATAATAATAATAATAATAATAATAATAATAATTTGTTTATTATTATGTAGTTGCACCATAAATGATGTATGGGGCAGTTTTATTTTTTTATGCCTAACAATTCCCAACATGATTTTTTCCTCTTTTGCAGTAGTTGTACAGTGGGTAAACATTTTCACAGAGCCATGACCCTAAGATCTTTTTTCCCTGATCAGTTTTTGCATTGAATAAATACCAGCAAATACAAGAAAGTGCCCATTTTTGTTGATGAATCTATCCTGCAAAGATCTAACAGAGACATTAGTATTATCCTAATCTAAAATAACAATCTTAGGAGGGCTGGGCAGCAGCGGTGGGGGCGGCAGGGAGATTGCCTGAGGGACCCCCCCAGCGAGTTGCCCAGGCTGAGGGGTCGACTCGGGCGCTGGCTCACCTCCTTGTCCCTTTGTCCTGCCCCAAGGATGCGCAGGGAGAGATGGGCAGAAATAGTAATAAGCGAGCGCCCACAACAGCCACCCAGAGGCTCAAACAGGACTACCTGCGCATTAAAAAAAGACCCAGTGCTTTATATACCATATTGGCCTGAATATAAGCTTCACTTTCCCCCCAAATTCCAACTGTGAAAAGTTAAAGTGCAGCTTATATTTGCGACCTTACAATATGCAGCCAGGAGCGCGGGGCAAACAGCGTGAAGGTGACTATTATCACAGGAAATTAATCATCACAGGAAATGAATCTTCCCCAGAGAATTTCAAACCTCCTAGTATTTATATGATAACACCGAACGGAAGATTTAAATGCAATACAAGGATATGTCTTTAAATCACCGACTTCCACCCGGACACGAGGGACCCAGCGTGGTCAGTCTCAAGCATCTTAACAGGCCTTCTTAGTTTTATGGTTGAAAATGGTCCCACTCTGGGCAGTATAGAAATGTCAGAGTTCACAAAAGGCAGCTTGCATTGCAGAACGTCAAAGGCAAAGTCTCCCGTGAATCCTTCCCTGATGTGGTGGAGGAGATCAAGCAGAAACCGAAGGCACAAAAGATCTCCACAACCGGCCCCCGACCCTCCCCGGCGGGGAAACCCACCACCTCCAGAACAGGCTGCCCCTCCTCAATGGGCACATCCCCTTGGCTGCTGCCAACAACCACCCAGCCTCCAGCAGGCCAGTCGGAACCCTGGACTCCTGGGCGGCGCTTGGGCAAACTTGTTTGTTACAGTTGGCTTTGGGGCCGCATGGGAAAGGATGCTCAGAGGAGCAGAGCGCAGGTCCAAGACCAAAACTAGTGGTAGCGGCAGGAAAAGAAGACAAAAGCATATGGGACTCCCTAGGTATCTTGTTCCCAACTCGGGGACAAATACAGCAATGTACAGGACAGGCAAAAACAAAAGTTTAGTTTTGGGGGGTGCAGGGAGGGGTAAATGCAATTTGGGACAGAGGAGGAGAAGAAATGAGCTGCGTCTCAGGTGGGATTCCTGTTTTTTAAAAACAGGCTCCCCGCAAAATGGCCTTGTTGCCTTGTTTTTACTTACCTCAGGATCAGTTCTGGAATTCTTCAGCTCTTTTTCACTTGGATTTGCACATTTTGGAGACACCAGGGGGTTCCCCATGACATGGGGGGGAGGGGGGAGGGTGCATAAGCCTCCTGTTAACGGAAAAATCTGAGGGCTCTCTTGGACGAAACAAAGACACCAGCCAGAGCAATTCAGAGCAAAACAGCAGCCAGTAGGCCCGGTCTTTATTTAGGAAAGACTGTCGCGACAGGGCTCCCACCGCCCACAAGGTGAAGCAAAATGGAAGCCCCGAACAAAGGGAGACCCTAACTTTTATTAGTTGTTAATCCCCTAAGCTACACCCCCATAATTACATCATATTTACATCACGATTATATTAAAATATAGGAGGAGTCGGGGAGGGGCCGCACAGGTAACCCGAGTGTCCTGACACCTGGCCGGAGCCTCCTTCCCCCCTCCCCGCATGAGTCATGTACGAAAACAAAGGAAAGGAGCGAAGTTTCCTGCCCCCTGAGGGGAATCCGGTCACAGTCTTTTGTGAGATTCCGCGCGGAATACACCAAGATATGCAGTTCATTGTGTCCTTGATAGCCTTCTGTCTGAGCCCATCACCGATGGCTATCAAGGTGGTCACGTCTACTAGGAAGGAACACAGAGTACGTGACTGTTCGGTCAAGGGATTATGGCCGCTTGATATCAGGCCACCCCCCTTTGATAGTCCTCGTAATATCCAGCAGAATAAAAGTGGTCCAGTGAAAATCCGAAGTATGGCTGATTTTTAGTGAATTTTTAAAGAATATCGTCTTTGAAGTTCAAAGCACTTTCGCCTTCAGGAAGCGGCTTGCTACATTTTGATTAGATCAGTCACGGTCAATTTAACTCGGAAACTTTGTATTGAGAGCTGTCAAAGGTAAGGGGGAGAGCGGCAGTAGCCTGCAGTACCCGCGTGGCCGCCGCAAGGGGCGCTGTTCGGTAATGTTGATTGGCTGAGGCGGGCGCCGATTGACAGCGGGATTCGGTCGGCCGGTCTACTCATAATAAAAATAGGGCTATGCGGAGCGCTATAGCGGGAAGCTGTCAAGCTAGCGCTTCCTTATTTACGGAAGGCTTTAAGGGATGGCCCTCTAAAGGGACATCTCCAGGGTCAGGAAGGGGAGATGTGTGAATGTGTGAGTGTGGTGCTTGTGTAACGCGTGTCAGTGAGATGGGGGGGGGGGTTTCCGGCGACACTCCGAATGTGCCCATTGACCTCTGCATTCTCTCCCTCCGCCTTTTGGTCTTTGTGGACTCCTTCGGCTGCCTTGGACCTTCCAGTTGGGTGAAGCGGCTTGTAGAGGAAACGCAGAGGGGGAGGGTAGAGGAGTAGTTGAGCTGCCTGCCCCTCTTTTCCAAATGCCCAGCCCCATCTGCCCTCACTTCATGTGCTGGTGCTCGGCTGTTGAAGACCTCGGTCTACTCTTAGGCCAAGATGTTCAGCATTTTTTAAAAAGGAGCACACTTGATAAAGCAACGTGTGTCCTGCACCCGGGGTGAAAGGTGTTTTCTTCACAAAGAGCTATTTCTCTTTTTTAAAAAAGGAAAGATTAAGATAGTGAAGTGAGGGGGGATTTAAAAAACCCAATTTCACTCATCTCCATGTTATTTTCATCAATTTGGGTATTAAAATGCCCCCACAGCAGTACGTCTGCCTTGGAAATAGTTCCTCAATGTTCTATATTGTAACGCTAATTCAAAATCACACCAGACCTGCTTAGCATGGTGGTTTGCAGATTTAGGAGACATGTAGACATTTAAGCAGCTAACTGGAGTAGTATTAGGAATATTTGCTAATACTGTCTGAATTTATTCATTATCTGTTGGTTGCCTGCTATCTTTTATGTCTATTTGCTTATCCCTAGAAAGGTGGGAGGCCTGACCTTCCCTACCATACCCATTTGTACACGTGTTTAAAAGCTGGAAGAACCACTATTTTAAAACCTTGCAGTTGAATATCATTTGCATCTATAAACCAAGTTTCTTGTAGGCAGGGCAGATCAAATGATTTGAAGGAATGGGAGAATGTGCGTGGGGGGGAGGAGTTTCTGCATGTGGTTAATGATTGGTGTGTTTCCTTGTGGATGAGACTGATAAGAGTAAAACAGCCTGGTCTTACTGCCCCCTGAAAATCTTATTTTCTTGAATCGGCTTGTTTGTGACTCCAGGACTCTGCTTGGTGCTATTTGTACTTTATTGAAAACACCTGAAAGTTGAAAGGAAAAAGTAAGTAAAAACGAATGTGTTACAGGAGTGGGAATCTTAACCTTTGTACCAGGCTTTTGAAAAGTGTAAACTCTGCACCGTTGTAATCAACTAGTTTGATACCATGTTTTCAAGGCTACTGTTTTGCATGATCAGAGCATGTTTAATAAATGCTGCTTTCTTGAACATGTTTGCCTTTTTAAAATCAAATCTTTGGAAAACACTATACAGTGGTGCCCCGCAAGACGAATGCCTCGCAAGACGGAAAACCCGCTAGACGAAAGGGTTTTCCGTTTTGGAGGTGCTTTGCAAGACGAATTTCCCTATGGGCTTGCTTCGCAAGACGAAAATGTCTTGCGAGTCTTGCCATTTCCCCCCTGCTTCCCCCCCCCTTTTTCAAAGCCGCTAAGCCACTAATAGCCTTTTAGCAGCTTAGCCGCTAATCCTTTTATAGCCGCTAAATCGTTAATAGCGCTAATCCTCTTAGCCGCTAATGGGGTTGCTTCGCAAGACGAAAAAACCGCTAGACGAAGAGAATCGCGGAACGGATTCCTTTCGTCTTGCGAGGCACCACTGTACTGATTTAAATGATCCATATATTTGTGATCAATCCTGTTTGCCTGCCTGCTTTCTTGTCAAACACAACTCTGTACAGTGGTGCCTCGCAAGACGAAAAGAATCCATTCCGCGATTCTCTTTGTCTAGCGGTTTTTTCGTCTTGCGAAGCAACCCCATTAGCGGCTAAGAGGATTAGCGCTATTAGCGATTTAGCAGCTTAGCGGCTATTAAAGGATTAGCGGCTAAGCTGCTAAAAGGCTATTAGTGGCTTAGCGGCTTTGAAAAAGGGGGGGAGCGGGGGGGAATGGCGAGACTCGCAAGATGTTTTCGTCTTGCGAAGCAAGCCCATAGGGAAATTCGTCTTACGAAGTGCCTCCGAAACAGAAAACCCTTTCGTCTAGCGGGTTTTTCGTCTTGCGAGGCATTCGTCTTGCGGGGCACCACTGTATATAACAAATGTATAACGTACACTGAATGTCCCAGTGCAATATTGGATAGACCCGGGCTATCATCCCTCCATGACACTTTTTCTTAATCTGAATGCCTTGACTGCACCACGCGTATACATTGGACTCCGAGTTATCATGGCTGAACTTCCTGGCTTTATAAGCTCTGACCTTATCTTGAAATTTCCTCAATGTCTGTGATATTATTTTGCCAAACACTATCGTCTACCTCTCCCTTTAAACTCTTCTCCAATTCGCAATCTCGTTCCAATCTCCGTTCCTCTTGGGTGGCCTTGTCTATAACTAAGAGCATTAAATCGCTGGAGCATTTATTTATAATGCCTACTGATTTCTGTTTAAACTTCTCTGAGTCTAAGAATAAAGTGGGAGCCTTTTGGAATGCATTGATTTTTGTAGTATTCTGATAAAGACACAGCATGATGGTGCATTTTAAGCTTGCGTTTTTAAAGAACCATGTATGCCGCACAGCTCTCCTTGAAGGAAAGGTGGGCCGAAAAATAACTAAATACACATTCTTGCCATTTTGGTGCCTTGCTGTTACAAACATATGGGATTTTCATTGAAAGCTTGTGTAATAGTCATGCACAAGTTCTAAAGGATAATATATTCATATGCATCACATTGGTTTTGGGGAGCGGGTGGCACTGTGGTCTAAACCACCAAGCCTCTTGGGCTTGCTGATTGGAAGGTTGGCGGTTTGAATCCCCACAACGGGGTGAGCTCCCATTGCTCTGTCCCAGCTCCTGCCCACCTAGCAGTTCAAAAGCACACCAGTGCAAGTAGATAAATAGGTACTGCTGTGGCAGGAAGGTAAACGGCATTTCCGTGCGCTCTGGCTTCCATCACGGTGTCCCATTGCGCCAAAAGCGGCTTAGTCATGCTGGCCACACTGGCGGAGGAAGAGGGGGACAGGAGGAGCGCCCCACCCCCGGCAACGCGATCCCAGTGGGGTTCCATCGCGGCTGTCCCCCCGCCTGCGCTGGATGCCCCGCCCCTGCAGGTGGTGCGCCCTGCCCACAGGATGCATGCCCTGCCCCTTTGGGCGGCGCCCCGCCTCTGGGGCGTGCGCCAGCCCTGCCCCCACCTGCTCTCTGCCCCCGGTGCCGGAGCATGAAGCTCCACCACTGGCTGGGCACATGACCCGGAGAGCTGTCTGCGGACAAACACTGTCTCCCTCGGCCTGAAAGTGAGATGAGTGCTGCACCCCATAGTCGCCTTTGACTGGACTTAACCATCCAGAGTTCCTTTACCTTTACCTTTTGTCTACCTTACATTTGGTAGTCAAATTAATGAAATGGTACCTGCTTTTTAAAAAATTGTTTCAAGAATAAATCACATGTTCTTTGATTAATAACAACTGTCTCTACCTCTTGTAAGTTTACAGTAAATTTCTTCCAGTTCCTCTGTCTGTGCAGGGGTATGATAACACACAGAAGCAAACATGGCAGTGTTATAAATAAAGATGGCCCGCTTTATTCACCCAGAGAATGGGAAAAAGGAAACAAAGGCCTGGCATTTCTTATAGCCCAAGCTATCACAAAATCACACAAGTCGGCTTGTAAGTAAGTGAGGTTGCAGGAAGAAGCATATTGGCATATTCTCGTGCAACAAACATACAGATTTCTGTTGGCCAAATAATCTTTAAATTAAACCATAGCTAAAAGACACATGCCATTTCTGTCAGTCTTGGTGGTAGTTAACATCTAAGCTTGGTGGCATTACAATGTCTGCTACATTTGCCTTTCTTTATCAACCAACTGGTTCAATCAATAAAATGTTTATTTAATGGCTGAATGATTATAGTAAAGTACACATCACAGCCACCAATTATTGATGATTACAGGTAGCAAGCCAGGAGGTCTGAAAGATACTAGAACATTCAGATATGTTGTTACCTGTTGAGCAATAGATTTATTAGACCTCTCAAGAAAGTTATTTAGAACTGTCTCTAAGGATCAACTAGGAAATTGCCTTATATAAATTTTGTGTTCTCTGACCCCTTGATAAAAACTGGACTGTTACAAGCTCTTTAGTGGTTGCGAGGACACTGCCTGTCATTAAAGGAAACTTTGGCAAATCTGCCATATATAGTCCTAGAGGCCCAAACCTTTAAATATGCTAACGAAGCTGCTCTTCCATAATGCTATAGAATTCAGATATGGGCTCCATTTATTAGAGGCTGAGCAATGCAGGGCAAGTGAGCATTGTGAATATGGCCTATAAGTTGACTCATGTCACTCTTGAGCATCCTTCCACAGGCTTCCCCCCACATTCATGGGGGTTACCCTGCATGTGCAAGTGAAATCGTGTAGAGTGAGGACACCCCTCTTTAAAAAGGAGGGTGCGCAAGAGGACACAGAGAGAGAGAGAGACTCACCCTGGAAATCACTCAGGGCCGCTGACCTGCCTGTTCTGAGCCTGCCTGCCTCCAGGGTGTGTGCTGTGCAGCGGAGCAGCAGAGATGGGGACATTTAGGGATAAGGTGACCCTTCAGTTAGACTGGTCCAAAGTTTTGAAGAGCTTTATATAGTAATAGCAACACCTTGAAATTGGCCCAGTAACCAGTTGCAGTCATTGCAGATCTCTGAACAATGGTGTAATATGCTCCTCTCAGCTGTTATGCTGCAGTGTGTTGCTGTTATGCTACCAAGTGCAAGGGAATCGCCACACAGAGTGTATTCAAGTCTTGAAGTAACCAGTGACTGGATTACTGTGATCAAATTATCCTGGTCTAGGAATGGGTGTTGCTGTCGTACCAGCCAAAGCTGATAAAAGGCACTCCTAGCTGCCGAGGCTACTTGGACATCAAGCGAGAAAGTTGGATCCAGATGCACCCTCAGAAGCTCCTTCAGGGAGAGTGCAACCTCCATCTAGGGCAGGCAACTGGCCAATTTCTCAGACACAGGAACCACTCACCCAAAGTGCCTCCATCTTGCCAGGATTCAGACTCAGTTTATTGGTTCTCATCAAAACCAGCTCAATTTGGGATTTAGGGCAGAAAAAAGAAAATGCTTCTTCATGCAAACAGTCAAACAGTGGAGCTTGCAGTGATGACCACCAACTTGGATGGCCTCAAAAGAGGATTAGGCAAATTCATGGAGGAGGAGAGGCCTATTGATGGCTACTAGCCAGAATGACTATGCTCTGCCTCTGCAGTTGGAGGCAGCAATGAAGACCAGTCCCTGGAAATCTTGAGAGGTGGAGAGTTGTTCTTGTGCTCATGTTCTGCTCCCCAGGTTCACCAGGTACCTGGTTGGGAGACCAGGATACTGGACCAGATGGGATATTATGTTCTTGTGATGCAGGATCTGGGATGTGTCCAGAATTGGTGCACAGCTCTTGAAAGTACATCACACATCTGGGATATTTTCTCTCTCTCTCTGGCTGTTATTTGAAATGTTTCTTCCAAAATTCAGTTTCTGCTCTGTTGTGCGCTTCATTCTTGATTTGTTTTTGCTTCCTTCCTATTCTGCACTGGCGTTTCTTCTCCAGGCATGATCCAGTATGGTTTCAGTATTCTTTCATTCCTCTAGGAAATGTATATTTAATGTTGGTATCCATCTACTATCCCTTCTTCAATTCTAACAGCTAAGGTAAAAAAACCAAACAAAAAACATTTAATAATTTAGCAATGTTTCCCTTAACATGCTTGTTGGAAATTACATGTACTCAGCTGGGATTTTCAGCATGATTTTTACTTGTCAAGATTCCTTTTATAATCCTGTTTTTTCCCCTGATGTGTTTTTTGCCTGAATCTTAAGTGGCTAGCTGTCTGCTCTGTGTTTCAAAGTATAACTTTGTTGTTTAGTCATTTAGTCGTGTCTTGGGTGGCCCTGCACGGCATAGCTCATAGCTTCTCTGAGTTATTCAGGCCCCTTCACCATGGCAAGGCAGTGATTCATGAAGGGGAAAATATAACTACAGTACCACATTTTTTAAAAAAAAATAGGGTGAACTTGTCTCACTTCTGGGGAGGCAAATCAGTGGGAGAACTAAAGATTTGGTTTTCTGAATTTTGCTTTTGGTTCCAGGTCTGAATTGGGTTAGATCAGGCCCAAAATGATCTGAACTGAGTTGGTGCCTGTTGTGCCAGCATCCCCCCCACCTCCCCCCCCCCGAGGTCCTCTGGCTCTCCCCTGCCCCACCTTCCCACTCTGAGCAACTTCATAGAATCATAGAGTTGGAAGAGACCACAAGGGCCATCGAGTCCAACCCCCTGCCAAGCAGGAAACACCATCAGAGCACTCCTGACATATGGTTGTCAAGCCTCTGCTTAAAGACCTCCAAAGAAGGAGACTCCACCACACTCCTTGGCAGCAAATTCCACTGTCGAACAGCTCTTACTGTCAGGAAGTTCTTCCTAATGTTTAGGTGGAATCTTCTTTCTTGTAGTTTGGATCCATTGCTCCGTGTCCGCTTCTCTGGAGCAGCAGAAAACAACCTTTCTCCCTCCTCTATATGACATCCTTTTATATATTTGAACATGGCTATCATATCACCTCCTCTTCTCCAGGCTAAACATGCCCAGCTCCCTTAGCCGTTCCTCATAAGGCATCATTTCCAGGCCTTTGACCATTTTGGTTGCCCTCCTCTGGGCACGTTCCAGTTTGTCAGTGTCCTTCTTGAACTGTGGTGCCCAGAACTGGACACAGTACTCCAGGTGAGGTCTGACCAGAGCAGAATACAGTGGCACTATTACTTCCCTTGATCTAGATGCTATACTCCTATTGATGCAGCCCAGAATTGCATTGGCTTTTTTAGCTGCCGCGTCACACTGTTGGCTCATGTCAAGTTTGTGGTCAACCAAGACTCCTAGATCCTTTTCACATGTACTGCTCTCAAGCCAGGTGTCACCCATCTTGTATTTGTGCCTCTCATTTTTTTTGCCCAAGTGCAATACTTTACATTTCTCCCTGTTAAAGTTCATCTTGTTTGTTTTGGCCCAGTTCTCTAATCTGTCAAGGTCGTTTTGAAGTGTGATCCTGTCCTCTGGGGTGTTAGCCACCCTCCCAGTTTGGTGTCATCTGCAAATTTGATCAGGATGCCCTTGAGTCCATCATCCAAGTCGTTGATAAAGATGTTGAATAAGACCGGGCCCAAGACAGAACCCTGTGGCACCCCACTAGTCACTCTTCTCCAGGATGAAGAGGAACCATTGATGAGCACCCTTTGGGTTCGGTCAGTCAGCCAGTTACAAATCCACTGAGTAGTAGCATAGTCAAGACCGCATTTTACCAGCTTCTTTACAAGAATATCATGGGGCACCTTGTCAAATGCCTTGCTGAAATCAAGGTAGGCTACATCCACTGCGTTCCCTTCATCTACCAGGCTTGTAATTCTGTCAAAAACCGAGATCAGGTTAGTCTGACATGACTTTTTTACAGCTCTGAGCTTGTACAGCTCTGAGCTAGGTTTTGGACGGGCATGTCAATAATTCCCCTGTATTCCTTCCGCTGCCACAGATAACATTTATCTGGATATCCCACCCCAGCATAACCAAATATGAGGCATGCAGTATAATACAATTAATTTAGCAAACAGAAATAATAAGCAAGGATTTTGTGTGTGTCGTTTCAGCTTTTCTTTATCTTATTTGTTACTTTATCGGATACACAAAAACGGCTACTATAATAGTGATCCTGTACAAAATCATGGGCTCTGCCAAATCACGTCCACCACCATCTCCCCCCCCCAACTCCACTCTCATGTGTCTCACCCCCAACATTCAGACCCCCTTTCAAGTTCTCCTTCATTCACCACTCATCCATTCGCCCACGTTCTAAGCTCATTCCTTCCTAACATTTACTTCAGTTCTTCTAATACACTTCCCTGCGCATTCACCTTAATTGCACTGCTATTTTATACACACACCAGAGCCTCCCACTCGGAATCACTGAATCGGAGTTACTGTTTCATTGTGTTTTTTAATGTTATTGTTATTTTATGTTTTTATCCTGTGATCTTAGGAAGAAGGGCAGTAAAATGAATGAATGAATGAATGAATGAATGGGGCTTACACATTTCTAGCTTCATTCTATCCAGCTCTTGGTTAGTGGGGAAGGAAAGTGCCCCCTGCCTCAAGCGCCTCCCTTTGCGGGACTCTGCGCTCTCTGCAGCCTGAAGGCCACCTGCCCAGAGGCAGCACAATATTAAGAGCTGTGCTCAGTCTGCCTTAAAAGAAAGAGAAAAGGCAAGATCCATGGCAAGTAGCGACCATGTCAAACGGTTCCCTGTGTCTATGTCCTGCCCTTGAGGTTTTGCTATTCCTTTTAATCCCACATTACACTTTCAGATTTATTTGTAGTTTATTCACTCTTAAAAGTCTATGATCCTTTGATCTTTGCAACTGTTGAGTTCGTTAAATCTGAATTTTCTTTTTGGTCTTTTTACCACATGAAAAAGGATTTCTGCCTTTATTATACATACATGAGCTTAGCTCAGGGGACCCAATTTCCTCTTTTGTTTTCTCACTTAACAGGTAATCTAAAATTAGATCAACTGGGATCACATCAAAAGAGGGATGACTTTGTTGAAAGTAAATGTAATTCTGTCACCAATTCCAAATTAAAATAGTGTGTGTGTGTGTGTGTGTGTGTGTGCACGCTCACACATTTTCATTACAGAAAGAAAAGAACAATTAACAAGGGAAAGCCACTTATCCAGACTAAGTTAACAATGATTAATCTGAACATCACCACTCACAAACTGATTATGGAACTGGAAGCCCACAGTTTAAGATGGCATCCAAAATGATGCCCTGAACTTATGCTTCCATTGCCAGATAGGAGTTTGAGAGAAACAGTAAATGACTGAACTGAGATACCTACAAAATCATTAGAATACATATACATTTATACCAAAGCATAAAGTAAAGGGTAAAGGTACCCCTGACTGTTAGGTCCAGTCATGGATGACTCTGGGGTTGCAACGCTTATCTCGCTCTATAGGCCAAGGGAGCCAACATTTGTCTGCAGACGGTTTTTCTGGGTCATGCTCTGGCAAACCAGAGCAGCGCACGTAAATGCCGTTTACCTTCCCGCTGGAGCGATACCTATTTATCTGCTTGCACTTGACGTGCTTTCGAACTGCTAGGTTGGCAGGAGTTGGGACTGAGCAACGGGCGCTCACCCCGTCGCGGGGATTCAAACCGCCGACCTTCTGATCAGCAAGCCCTAGGCTCAGTGGTTTAGATCAAACCATAGCACAATATAAATTACATAATCTAAGCAGCAACCTTTATAGTCTTGTCAAAACATATAATGCTTTTAAATTATATTGTTCTGTAAAATACTTCATAGACTCACTTGGCATTCCAAAAAACATAGAACACTAAACAAAATATCACAGCTAAAAGCCTAGAGCTGACAATATTTTTTAATGTTTTATAATTATGGGTGCCACTGTAGCCTGCAGTTTGAGCCCCTCCCCCCCAAAAATTAGTTTTATTTAGTTTTAAAAATTAAAATGTATTTTTTTAAGCTAACTGTTCCTATAGGTCCCTGCTACAACGCTGTGATGCCGAAATGTTTTTCTGTGGTCCTCTAAGACTCCACATTTATCCTTTAAAAAAGAGAGGCCATGCTCACTGTTGCACTTCAACAAGCAGCCCTTGGAGGGTTGACCATGGGTAAATGAGACCCCCTCAGACCCCCCAAAAAGAAAAGGGGGAAAACTACTGACTGGTCATCTTGATGCTGATACCAGGAAAAGTCCTCAAACAGATAATTAAACAGTTGGTCTTTGAACACTTAGAAAAGGAGGCTGATTACTAAGACCCAGCATAGATAGATATATAGATATATATAGTTACAAGCTTGGTGGATCAGGGGAATGCTGTGGACATTGTGTATCTTGATTTCAGTAAGGCTTTTGAAAGTGTTTCCCATGATATTCTTGCAGAGAAGCTGGTAAAATGTGGGCTGGGTGAGGTAACTGTTATGTGGATTTGCAGCTAATTGACTGACTGAACCCAAAGAGTGCTCAACTAATGGCTCCTCCTCATCCTGGGGAAAAAGTGACAAGTGGGGTGCCACAGGGTTGTGTCCTGGGGTCATTGTTGGTCAATGTCTTTATAAACAACTTGGATGAAGGAATTGAAGGGGTGCTCATCAAATTTGCATATGACACCAAACTGGGAGGGGTAGCTGATGCCGCAGGAGACAGACTTGGGATTCAAGATGACCTTAATAGATTGAATTTCAGTAGGGCCAAATGTCAGGTTCTACACTTAGGCAGGAAGAACCAGCTGCACAAATATAATATGGGAGACACCTGGCTTGCCAGTAGTCTATGTGAAATGGATCTAGGGGTATTAGTAGACCACAAGCTGAACATGCGCCCACAGTGTGATGTAGCAGCAAATCTTTTTTAGTGGTACCTCGGGTTAAGTACATAATTCGTTCCGGAGGTCCGTTCTTAACCTGAAACTGTTCTTAACCTGAAGCACCACTTTAGCTAATGGGGCCTCCTGCTGCCGCCGCGCCGCTGGAGCACGATTTCTGTTCTCATCCTGAAACAAAGTTCTTAACCCGAGGTACTATTTCTGGGTTAGCGGAGTCTGTAACCTGAAGCGTATGTAACCTGAAGCGTATGTAACCTGAGGTACCACTGTACTCTATTCTGCCTTGGTCAGACCACACATGGAGTCTTGCATCTACTTCTGGGCACCACAATTTAAGAAGGATGTTGATTGCAGCTCTCTGTCAAAATCAACTACACCCTTAAAAGCTGGTCCATTTTATTGCTCTCTCCCAACTTTTTGAGACAAGATATCTGCTATTTTCTCTCACACATCTCCACTCACCCTGTAAATAGTTCCTGTATGAATAAAGCCTTTGAACTCCAGAGACTTCAGAAATTGTAAGTGATTATTCTAATCTAATTCACCCAAGCTGCAAGATCTGCTAGCACATACACACCATACAATTTATGCACATGTCTCTGTCCCATCACTCTGTCCACTACACCATGCTGCCTCTCCATAGTTTTCTTAATCTCCACCTGACAATTTTCACAGCACTAGCTATCTTGCAGGTCAAAGTACTTGATAAGCATCCTTAAGTAAACCTTGAAGTGATTATTTCAGGCATAATCCAGCCAAGCCTACCCCCTCCTCTGTGCCAGTGATAAAGCAAGTTAACTGAAATTTGTAACCCTATAAATAATAGAGAAAACACGTCCACAATGTATTTCAACAATGCTTTTTCGAGTTGTATGACATTTGTTGGCTGGTTGCTTTCAGTTCTTCCACACACATGTATTAAAAGCAGCTCTCCTAAAGCTCACTGAATGCATTAATCCTGTGCACACAGGTTGGCCTTTCACTGATGTGTACCCAACAAAGCTCAGAGAGGCATATTCTAGACATACTGTAACAAAACTCTGTCAGTGCCAAATGTTTACTTCAGTAATTGTGGCACGGATGTGTAAATAAAAATTGCTGTGGTGGCTTCAATAGTAATGAAATCTTCTTGATATATTTAGGGTGAATACGGTACTGCATTTAGCAGTGTTTCCGAAAGATATTTAAAGTAGCGTTTGTGAATGAATGGATGCAGAGAGGGAGGGGTGTGTGACATGCAGAATGTTAAAATGCAAAGCACTATCTTCTGATTGGCTCATGGAAAGTGGATACTGTAGATATAAACTAGCAACTGCATCCTCTGGTCTTTATAACTGTCACAAAGAAAGCAGACGGGCGAGAGAGAGAGAGAGAGAGAGAGAGAGAGAGGACAAAATCTCACCAACAGTAAGTAAAAGTCCTAACTTTCTAAGCTTAAATAGTATAGAAATGGTACCTTAATGCACCATTTAACTGTACACTATCCCAGGACTTTACTGAAATAGTCAGCAGAGACAGTAAATGGCACACATGCATGTGTGGGCAGATACACATATCAATTAAATTTTTTTATTAACATGTCAAAATTGTCATGGCATGCGCATGTCTCTTTGAGGTTGCATAATATGACAAAATAGACTTGAAAGGTGCTGATCCTATGTGCATTACATGAAGCTGCTATTGCAAACACGTATGTTCAGCATAATATTTTGGGATCAAAATATAAATACTGTTCATGTAACTCAGTCTCTGTATTAAAGCAAATATACGGTACTTGTTAGCTGCATTGACAGTCAATGAAGTGGCTAAAACAGGCACTTAATTCTTAGAAATAAGCAACAGATCTTAAAGGATCCGTTCTATAGGAACTGAAGCAGAACCCATCCTTATTTAAATGAAAATGACAAATACAAAGTTTCAGCAAACTTACTTAAGCGGGTTTACTATATATACAGTCTATAAATGTCTATAAGCCAGAAGAGGGGTGGAGGGAAGTTAATTCAGATAAGATATAGATTTTAAGGAGAATAGTATTGTTAAGCTGTATTGTGTTTAAGATATTTGGAAAAAATTAATAAAAATTATGGGGGGGGAGAGTTTCAGCAACCTTTATTAGTATTTTTGTTAGTATTAATGTGGGGCATAAACCCGCCAGTTATTTTAAATGATTTTGTTAAATTGTATTATATCATTAAAAACAAACAAGATAATTATGTAGTATAGTTATTGATTTCAAAGGGGAAAATAATGCATAAAGTTGTATTTGATCTTGAAATTTACTCTTTCGGTGCATAGTAAATGAAATTTATTCCCCAGCAAATCTGTCCCAATGTGTCTGTTCTTTGGCTCTCTTCTGTTACAGTAGCTCAGTCAGTTACAGCCCAGACTGGGTTTTTTTACCATTTGTTTAAATGTGATTATGTCTCAGTTATTTCCAGTAAAAAGCAGCTCATATTTTTGCAGTTGTCAGTAAGCAAACTACTAATGCAGGATTTTCACATGCCATAGAATCTGCTAAATATTCCAGTAACACTATTTCAGGAGCACCTGCCTTGTCTTTCAATATTTCCAAAATTTGCTTCCAAAGAATGTCAATAAAAGTACATGAGATGTCCAGACAGTAGATGAGATCACCAAGAATTATCATGCTGCAGAAAAATAGGCATGCTTTAATTTTAGGAGAATCAAGTACCAATGGAGCTATCGTTTGTAAGTTTTCTTTCGTATTAATGTTAATCGGGTTTCCAGTCACATTTCACCATTTCGATACTCTAAATGAAGATATTTACTCCATTTCAGTTTCTCTCTTTGTATAAGGTTAAACACATCTAAAGCAAAAGTAGATATGTTTTTTCCATTAGACCTTTCAGTGTAATTTGTGTTAGCCATGTTTTTTTCAAGATGATTTTTAACTTTCATATATACATTCAATGCAATCTTGAATTGCATTGAATACTTGGCTAGTTAGTCTTGTTCTTAACTTTCTAAAGGATGAGACTGAAATGACTATTCAGTACCTTGTACACTTCTAGCATTTTAATACATTTCTAGCTGGCCCCAGAGATGGGATAGTTGACCCAATTGATGGTTTCACTTAGACTTCTTATGTCTCAGGCCAAAGGCCCCTTCTTCCACATCATGTTGTTATGTGTAGCCCAGTTCCTTTTGAAAGGAGGTCACTGAAGACTTATTGGTATTTTGTGATACAAGCTTTATTTACACACCTAGACAG